GCCAGTGCGAAGGTTTCGTGCGAGCATGAAGATGGTGTGATGCAGAGGTAAATCACCTAATCTCGGTGTCTTTTAACATCCCAATATTTTTCCACTTTTTTTTGCTTTCCCCTCCTTCCCATCCTTATTATGCACAGGACGTCGAACTGACCTCCTTGTTGATCGTTTCCTGGGTTATTGGAAATCCCACATGCTCCAAAATATACCTGCCTGAATAAATAGCTTACTTAGTTATCGCCTGCTGCTTGATGTTTGAGATCTGATACATGCAATGGCTGATGTGATCGCAAGTATGTAGGTGGGTGGAAAACTAAATGGGTAGAGGGGAATTGGGATGGATAGGTAGGAAGCTGGAGTGATTTTATTCATCTTCAAAAACTGGTCTATTTGAATCTGTCGGTTTTTTATTACTTGTTGAAAGAAATAGGAGTGTGTGGGAACACTCTTTGGGTACCAGAATTATAAAAGTCTCATTTTGCTTTATTGAGCAGCGTGTTTTACTTACACACCAGTGGCGATCTGAGCGGCTCTATTGAAATATTCGTTAACAATAGTGTAACATCAGAACACTACTGCATTCAAAAAAACTTTTCTCAAAGTAGAAAAACCTTAGTTACCCGGCACTATGATGTCAGAAATTGAGTCCCTATTGTGCAAAATCTTGTATCAACAAGGACAATTATAAATTGAAGATCGATGGCGAAGCACTTAGAATTGTATCTATAATAGAATAGGAAGTAAAAACAAGCACACACATTTTCGCAAGCTGGACATTCCATGTATTCTACGGCTTTTGATCCCCTTTTAAGTTTCTGTCCATCAGAATACCTTGTCGTAGTCACACTGGAACGCGTGCAAACATCAGTTTGGCAGCCAACTAAAAGAATCATCGTGTCCGTATGAAGTATTCTGTAGGTACAGGCTAACTGAAAAGGCAAAGGAGCAATAATCATAGAGCGGGTAAAGGACTAAGGAAAGATAGTCGTGTAGGATAACCATGCAAAATACAACCTTATGATGGTGCGCACTAATTTTGTGTATTTTAATGTATATTGGTAGGCATCAACATAACATGTCTTGATGCTAACTAATTTTTTTTCCCAAAAGTTGACGTCGATTTGCGCTTTTTTAGAGAATAAAATGTCATTATTACACTGCTTTTAACAAACACATATTGAACTGCATCAACGAGGTTGCTGATGATATTTGTTGCCTTCAAACTAAAGCAAATCCTAAAAACTAAATGAAAAAAATTGCAAGTGAACTTAGATTATTGTGTTTGAGTTTCATAATATAAACCCTCCCTACAACATTGTGATGGGGTTAAGAAGATCCGAGGTGCAAATCAACTTTTTGGTAACTTTGTATTATTTATTGTCTTAATGGTTGACTAGAGGTATGCAATACGTGGTCTTTCCTACTTCAGCAAGTACTGAGTAATTGGCAGACACCTAGAAAATAACCATGAAGGGAAATTTAACCGTAGCCTATACAATCCATACAACTCTGCACACGCTTTTCGTTAAAATTAAACAAGATTTTTCACGCTATAAATGCTAATTAGATGGCATCAAAAAATTAACAAACATGACACTGTCTCGACACCAGCTAAACATGTGGGGCCCAATTGTAATCTTGCAAGCTTTTCAAGGTGTTTTTGAGAAATAGAAGAAACGGCACCCAAGTGCACACATATCTAAAAATAAAGTAATACAGTTAGTTAAAGTATGTTTTAACTTTTTCTTTATTTGATGCTTACTAGGGTAGAGTGAGCATGGAAACCCAATCAGTGGGGCTAAAAACGAATAACATATTCGATCATCAAGTATGGAAAAGCCGCTTCTTCCACACAGGTCATATTTTTTAAAAGGTTTTTGAGTGAAACTTTGAATTTTCCCAATATAAAGTGTCAGTGAAAGCGGTGTGCTTCGTAGTGTAAAACCATCATCAGATCCTCATCGGGGTCTCCGATCACCTAAATGAAGACAGTGTCGTAGCTCCCACATGCATCACCTCACCCATGGTAATATTAACAGTCCTTTCCACTGCAAAAGGCACTTAATTTGCGCAATTCCACCGCCTCCAAGAATACATGACTTACACATGTAACCAGTGAAATTTTTTAGGTTTGCTGGCTTCATTGAAGTGCGAGTGCATTGGCACACTAGTTTACTTCAATCAGTGTGAAAAAAAATGTGCTAAATACTGATGGAATTGGAAGCCAAAATGAAATAAATAAAAGGTGAGGCGAGATAGAATGATGGAATGTAAGTAAGATGTTTTAGCCGAAGGTAGAACTGAAGGGCTGAAATTCACATCCAAATATCTCTATGCCTTGGCTGATTGTCATGGATTATAAACATCACGATACACTTAAATTTACTTACCTGTTTGTATCTAATATCTTGACTTTTGGTGAAAATATTTTGCCGCAATATTTTAACACCATTTCATCTCTCTTTATTTGACAACTATAGCGTCCCGAGACTCCCTGAAGACGAAAGAAGACACAATACTCGGGCAGAATGTATATATTCAGCACGGAGAAGGTGTCTGGGCTATTGGCATGGCCCAAAAGGCCAGCCCACCCAGCGAGGTACAAGAGGGCTAATTCAAAGTACAAAAGTGGCGCCTCACCAATGCCGAGGGATAAACCACTATCGTATTACATAGCCTCCCTCCTCTTTTGAGCGTCGTCCACGGCACTCCCATAGGTCAACCTCCCGCGTCAGCCATTACAACGTAATCGGTGCAGCAAAGAAACACCCTTGAGCCGACCATGCTAGTCACCAAATTAGCGCTCAACTGAGGGGATACTTGACCTCAAGGCCAATGATCCCTTTTGGCAGCTTGACTGGATCTAGGGTTTCGTCCGGTCTAGGGATTTGATTCAGAACGGGGAAATGCGCCGGCCATCATGTGTTGGTAGATGGATGTAGGAACACTGGCCTAAATGTCCATGGGGGGCGGTTGGGAAAATCCGTAACGAAACTTTTAGATAGTTCACGACTAGTGTCGATTCAGTTGTTAATGGCTTTTCTCCTGAACACGGGACAGGGAGAGATGCCGAAGGTAGACGTCAACATCAGCGCTTCCATTAAGGAACATCACCATTCTCTTCAAAAGCATACTCTTACTGGAGGCGCTTCTACCGTTCTATTTTCTGCGTTACGGTAAGCTACAAATTGCCTTTTTTATTGCATCTTGCACAGGTCCCACCATCAAGTCCATAACTGACAGCATTCTGAAGGATGCACCTCAATACTTGGCCACACACGCTAAAAAATTCCATGTGGGATCTGTTTAAAGCTTCTCTCGCTCTTGCCCCGTTTCATTTTACGAGACCTTGGTCAATGGAGAGGTAATTTATACCCTTGGGATTTGCATCAATGCATCCCACTTGGTCATAACTCTTCCCTTTGCAGTAAGTTATCTACACTATACAGTGCCATACTTATTTCATCTTCCTCCTTTTCCTTCGTCAAAAGACTGCAGCTTACAATAGTGCACTACAATTTCATAAATCTCGCATTTAAATGCGCAAATCATGGACGATTCGCAACCAAAATACTTCGCATCTTTATTCCGATACAAAACTTGCAAGCATGCTATTACACTTCTCCCATATTTACTTCTACT